CATACGCACTTTATCGTAATCTCTCTTTTCGTAACCACTATTTGTCGTTCTGATCGAAATCCTACTGTTATATGTTTAGATAATCTTTACGCATTGGACATTGCAGAAATTATTTTGTGACATTCATGTTTTTGTTCATTTACAAAACAAAATCTGCGGTTATGTGGTGAGGCGGCGGCGCCCACAAAATCGCGTCCGTCCCACGCGACCGAAAAGTGGAAAAGGGGCGTCGTCGTGAATGTGTTAATATGCATATATTCAAGGCAGCTTGCCCGCAGAAGACATCCAAAATTTAGCTTATTTGGTGCGGCAGAAAAAACTTGCAGTCGAAAAAGTATTTAAATAGTATCTTACTTCTACTAAGTGAAACGTTAGTCATAGTCTCCATGGTGCAGTGGAGTTCTGGGGTGGGAGCAAGCCATTAACTCCATAATGGTGAGAATAAGAACAAGAGTGCTCATGACACGTAATAAACATTTGAAATATGCTTATGGTAAGATCCGTGTAAGGTGGAAGTATTCCTGATTGCTTCCACATTTCATTCACCAGAAAGATGGATATCCTTGCCTCGACGTAGGAGCGGTGAAGTTCTAGGGTGGTGACAAGGTGCAGAAATTGGATGTGGGTAGTACCTGTGGAAAGTGGGACTCTAATCTCTCCTTATCAGAAGTTCAAATAGCCTTCTATTCTATTTTTAGTGCTGGAGACCCGTATCTGATCGTAAATAGCGGCTTTATTCAGTTAAACTGCCAGGATTTCACCACAATACATATCCAGTGTGGTTGTTGACTCGTAGGCTTCCGAAATTTCCTACAATGTAAGATCAGAGGTGTGACGAAGGCCTTTCCGGGGTTCGCACAGTCACCTCTCCGTGGTTGTAATATTTCTTTATTTAAAAATTCTGTTTGATTGTTTTCTGCTTCTGCTCAGTTTTGCTCAGCAAAGATCGTCATCTTGTGTTCCACAATAAAGCCAAACTACTGTCAACCACAATTCCACGTCAAGAGCTTTCGAAAGACTTCTCCTGCATAGCAGCGCTCTTTGTAAAAATTACGAAAAAAATCAAGTGAGCAGCGAAGAGAGCTCCTGCTGCGTTGAAAAACCACTCCAAAAAAGTTCTCGTTGTACTGTTTTTCCTCAATGGCTTTTTTGAGAAAAAGAACCAAAAACGCTCACGTTAAGAGCTCACTCACCTTCCTAATCGGCTGTGCTAAGGCAATGAGAAACTAGGCGTAGAGAGGAGAGTATGAGAGAGCGTAAGGGTTGCCAGACAATAGCCTGATAAAGAAAATAGGTGCAGCTGCAGCAGCTTCACTTTGCAAGGCCCTAGCGCTCTTGTCCGGTGATTTCCGTGCACGGAAATGCCACATTTGTGATTGTCCTCAAGGCACCTATCTTACAGAGCGATGGGAATCGTTCACACCGTTTCTACCTGAGCTAAGCCTTCAACTCATATTTCATCGTTTCAATCGTAGGTGAACTTCGGCATGTGATAAGTAACTACTGTT